TGGCATTATGACGTCGAAACTCTATACCTAAATTCTTTCATATATATTCCCAATTGTTTTTAATTATAAAAGTCAACAAAGCACGATTGATTATTTCACTATAGGGCATCCATAAAAGGCTTTTGCATAGAAACTGCGCTCCTTACGCCTTAGCATCGAATTATGAGTGCGAACGTGACAAACGGACTAACACACGTGTCAATAAGCAGGGTGAACGACCTGCCGATAAGCCACGCAAAATAACGCGGACTAGATAATATTAGACATAAAATGGTGGACGACGCCCATAGCAGGATTGGCAAGCGACATTTATACGTTCGGAAGATGCCTATCTGCACACATTAATCTAGATGATTTCAAATAACTAATAGGTGTGAACAAGTGTGAAGTAGGTACTGTAATAAAAAAAACAAGCATAAATAGGACAACCTACAAGGCGAAGTAATTGATAAATAATGTTATTAAAGGAAAACATTACAAAACAGAATTTTATCGCATAAGTATTTATTTATAACATCAAGTATTGCTGCATATTACGGAGACATCGTAAATAGGTATACAGTACACTTGTTTTTATAATCGTTCGAATATTTGCGTAATTTGTAATCGAATAATGATTCGATAATAATCATTTAAGATAGTACCTAAGCGTCTTAGTGCAAACTTATAATGGTAACCCAGCATACGCATAACACATTTTCCTTTGTGGCCAAAAGAATAAAAAGCAGGTCAATTACAGGCCGAGCAAACAAGCGAATTTTATCGCTTCCCGTGGCATTATCTATTTGAAGTTTCAAATCTGAATAGCTACGAAGTTTTTTATTTGGTTTCTGTGAAAATTTCCCGTAACACCTCGCCGAATTGTTCAGAGCTTTGGCGCAAAACTTTGTTTACCAAAAGATATTCTTGAGAATGTTAGTTGTTCGCAAATAATAACACCGTTGTTTAATATAGAGAATCTCTGAAAGTATATAATGAAAATATGGCTAGTACCTATCTGTCTATATATAGCTTCGGTATTGTACGCCTAAATGGAAACATTGCTTGCAGTTCATATGTTATGTTTTGGCCTTTCTAATTTAACTTATTTACGCCAATTAGAGTAAAAACTATCCATACAGGCCAAATTTATATGTATATAGGCTGGCAATACACCTGCAATTTCTACCTTACTCATGACTGGCGGTAGATAGATAGATAAACTTTTTATTTGAGCCATTTATGACATACGTAAAATTTACAAATGAGTTTATACAATAAATTTATTAACACTTTTCAAAATATACAACAAAAGATAAAATATGAAAATATGTTTTAGATAAATATGAATATACGGTAGTTACTTACCATCAGGTGAGCCGTATGCTCATTTGCTCTTTGTACTATAGAAAAAAAAACATTCAAATCTGTTCAGTCATTTCAGTAACAAACATGTTTATAAAATTTCGATTCTTTTAATAATAGTAAAATACGTAGGAAACCTTATTCATATTTTTTTATATATTTATGTCTAGAATTAAAAAAAAAAAACAAAGAAATTATAATCTAAAACGTAAACAGGGCAAATTAGTAAAATAATAATAATAATAATAGATATTTGAAAGAACTATCATGTCCGACGTGTGCCGTGAGGAAAATCGCAGTGACAGGCTAGCGAGCAGAGGCATTGGGGTCAAGGCGGCGATACACAACGTTGACGCAATCTAGCGCGCCTTTATCTATACCACTTATTGTGTTATCAAATTGTATTTAGGTACCTATACGTGTTAGATTCTTACAGTAACTATTTCGTAATAATGAATGGCTGAACGGGAGCCAAGTTTCGTTCCTTGAACGATGACATACGGAAGTCAAGTTTGTAGAAATAGTTGCTGAAAAACAATCGTAATGGATTCGTTTAAATGTGTATTATACATAACAAAAAGTGTAAAAACTAATGTTTAAAATATCGAATTATTAATTTTTATATTCTATTGAAAATTAAATTAAATAGACATATTAATATCAAATGCTTGCATTACATAAACAAAAATAATACATATAACATATGAGTCGAGTCTAGTTCCGAAGTTATGACTACGTAGCTATCAAAATAAATTCCAATTTCTTTTATGCAATACTAGCGGCTCGGCCCGACTTCGGACAGGTGGACATTTTTACAACATTTTATAAAGTGAATATTGTGACATAACAACCAACAAGTTTTTTGTAGTTATCGATATTTTCTTCAATATTGTAGAACATACTTTTGTTCTATCACCAATAGTTTCCGCAGCGCACGCGACCAAAGATATTTTTTAGCATTATCTTTACACCTTGAGTTACGTTACTAAAGTTTTAGTAAGGATCCCTAATCTTTTCTAGTAATAAATATAGCCTATGTTACTCAGGGTGAATGTAGCTTCCTAATAGTGAAAGAATTTTCGAAATCGACCAAGTAGTTTTTGAGTTTATTCATTACAAACATATACACACAAAAATACAAATCTTTCCTGTTCATAATAGACTACTAGGTATGTAATGCTGTTGCAAGGAGTAAGTGAATGCGGGTAGCTCAGGACTGTCCTTTATGGCAGTCTATGGGACCCTATGTCCAGCAGTGGACGGATAATGGCTGAAATGACGATGACGATAATGTAATATTGTTTATAAAATATTATATTGAAACAATTATATTTTTAATACTTAATTTTCCTTACATTCAAGTATTGAATGTTTTACAATTAAATAAAATTCTATGTGAATCCAAATATAACGTCCGACGAGTCGTATGATCTATTGCCAACATTTCCCATGAATAATTCTACAACTTTAGTATATTTACGAAACTGGGCCATCATAACCAATGGCGCCAAAATAGAATCAGCGGCATTATTCACGTTTAGAACACAACTTCGGAACTAGCGTTAATCATGAATCCTTATCAATGAAAGAATACTCACTAATATTATAAATATGAAAGTGAGTTTGTTGGTTTGTTACATCTTAACACCTTAACCAATTACTATTTTTTTTATTAAAATTTGGAATACACGTAATATTTGCCACTGAGAAGGTTATAGGCTTTTTCTTTGTTTTTATGCCAGTCACTGACTATATCCCCGTCACGGGAACAAAGTCGCGGGTGAAAGCTAGTATGTTGGTAAAGATAATCGTAAAACATTGATCGTTAACATTTGAACCTCGTTTGCATTAATTTTAACCAACTTTCAAATGTTTTTTTTTTATGGGTGAAAATGGCATGGGAAGCCCGCCTGCGCTAACGGGATACGCGGGCGGAGCACCAGTGAAGGGTGATAGATGAGAATGAAAACAGGCCAGTTAGCCCATCATGATGAATTCATCAGGAATTAACCATGATAGTTTCCAGGGGAACCGCGAGAACGTCGACCTGGTTGGGTATATTGCTAGCAATGGGATTCTCAGTCTCCATTACTAACAATCCCTTTCCCCCCACTTTCAAATGTTAAAAATGAGAAATTTCCGTTGCTACTCTATTTTCTTCATGTTCTTCAATATACGAGTAAGAAGCAATTTTTTTTTAATTTAATTTTATATTATATAAGGAAGTCCTGAGAAGAGTGAACGAGAAAGAACATTAATTAAAATAATAGAGAATAGAAGAGGCAAAATGCTATGTCACCTTATACGACATGACGTTTTTTTAAGAGCATTGTAGAAGGAAAAATAGAGGGCAAAAGAGAAAGAGGAAGACCGAAGAATAACTACATGGGACAGATAAAAGAAACACTAGGTGTCATGTCGTATAGGGAGGTCAAGTATATGGCCTGCGATAGAGCTGGCTGGAAGAAGATGCATGAATTAGTTACACCGACAAGAGGAAAGTCTTAAATGAGAAAAAAAAATTATAGTCCCGTGATATTAAGATTGAATATTAAAAAAAAATAATAAGTAATTACAATTCTTCCACAGCTGAAATAGCAACAACCAATTTGATCTACAATTCTCAGTGCCTAGATTATTCTATAATAATATAAAATTTTACTACCAAATTTTTTGGTATATTTTTTCTCCAAATGGAAAAAAAAATCCTGTGCCTCTCTGGACAAGAATTGAAACTACGATCTGTTTTTTAGGTTATAATAGATGAATTAGTTAACGAATAATTTAGTTTAATGAACAATACGTTTGCTTAACATTTAAATATTAATGATCATTAATTAATATGTACATTAAAGAATGTTATTATAACAGCGAGCTTAGATCTGACAATATGGATTGTCTAGACTTAGCGTTCCCACGCCGAAACTGTGGGAGATCTCACTATTGTTTAAATTGAGTTTACACCCAATTCAAATATGTTTTACACTGATCACACACAAATGAGCCTACAGTGCAATTATAATATCATTTCAGCCATTAACTGTCCACTGCTGGACATAAGACTTGCCATTAAGGAGAGTTTTAACAGTAGTTGCCACGCTTGACAGGCGGGTTGGCAACCGCAGTTAGAATTTTAGACATGTTTTAAGAGGGATGCTTTTTCCGATTCCTCTACCATTAAGTTCCCTTAGTCGCCTCTTACGACATTCACGAGATCAAATATGTACTAGGTACATATCGTCATAGTCGTAGAATACTGACGGATCGAACAAAGATTACATATAAAGATCCGTCAGTATTCTACGACTATGACGATATAGGCCCTACTTTAAACTGAAAATCTCGAATTTATTTGTTCAAGTTTAGATAGATAGACATACATTTACTTGTACTTTTCCTTTACTAGATTACCCTCCAATTAATTATTTTCTCTCTAACTACACTGGGTTGGCTGGAAGAGATCTCTTTTAGAGATAAGTCCTTCCTTGCTAACAAGTTGATAAACTAATCGCTGTGTCTATTGTTCACGTGCAATAAAGAAAATATATATTAAAAAAAAAAAGAATGAATGGTTTTCTGTGTGTGCTATTTTACTAGTATATTTTACTTCTTGCCCATCACTTGTAGCTAAGCTCCACGTTTGCGTTCTTTTCCAGTGGGTGCAATGAGCGAGCGCGACGCCTACGGCTACGGGTACGGCGGCGGGGGTGGCGGGGGCGGCGGCGCGCACCACTTCGCCGCGCCCGCACCCCCGCCCCTGCCCCACGACGACCTGCCCTACTCCGTGTTCGACTTCGGCGAGTACCAGCGGCACCACCACCACAACAAACTCAAGCCCAAGAAGAGGCCGCGGAGCGACGCGCCACCCACGCCCGGCGTCAAGCGCAAGAGCCGCGAGGGCTCCACCACGTACCTGTGGGAGTTCCTGCTGAAGCTCCTCCAGGACCGGGAGTACTGCCCGCGCTACATCAAGTGGACGAACCGCGAGAAGGGCGTGTTCAAGCTGGTGGACTCGAAGGCGGTGTCGCGGCTGTGGGGCCTGCACAAGAACAAGCCGGACATGAACTACGAGACGATGGGCCGCGCGCTGCGCTACTACTACCAGCGCGGCATCCTCGCCAAGGTGGACGGCCAGCGGCTCGTCTACCAGTTCGTAGACGTGCCCAAGGACATCGTCGAAATAGACTGCTCGCTGGCGTAGGCGCGAGCCGCCCGCGTGCGCGCTGAGCGAGCGTGTCAGTGAGCGAGCGAGCGGTGCGGTGGGCGGTGCGCAGTGAGCGCTGACCGGTGAGCGCTGAGCGCTGAACGCTGAGCGGTGAGCGGTGAGCGCTGAACGCTGAGCGCTGAGCGCCGAGCCGGACTTATCCCGAACGTTATCGGTTCGAATCTCCAGTGATGGACTGAGTGACACAGGACTTTCTGTCATACGTAACTACGTTATAGAGATGCGTATTCATTTTTCTCTTACATTTTTTCACTAAATACTTAGTAAATTCGTCTATTTTTCAAATCATCATGCATTACGTTCTCCGATCGCTTTATGATAATGTTATTAAGATAAATATTATATTCTCAAATCGAACTAATATAAACTTATCATTGAATTTAATATTTATACAAAAATAGGAGAGACGAAATATATTGCTCAAATGTTTATATAGGTACCTATTTTTAGGGGTATTTCAGAAGAGGAACACTAAATTTGCTAGCTGTTTGTTATACCTACGGTACGGAGTGATTTTTGTATAATGTTCAAAACGAATTTTTAAATGTTTGTATTGAAGTTTCTATATATTGCATGTTTACGTGGATCCACGAAATCAGAACTTCCTACCTCAAAACTAAGCAAAAGTAACGATTCATAAGGATATAATATACAATTTACGATGTTTGAAAATACAGTTTTACAATAATGCAATTAGTGTGAACTTATAGTAGATATATACATACAATAAGAGTTTATATTAAAGAAATATTTACGTAAAATGTTTATATAGCAACGGAACTATCATATAACATATGTGACATCCTCAGATCACGTTTTTGGTGCTTGTCAAGGCCATTTGCATATTTACACCTTGTTACAAAGGACCTCACTAAACTGTTGATTATATACATGTATATTATATAGCATATTATATTGTTTACTTGAAGTGCATTGTACAAGTTATTGTTCAGTTCATCTCAGTGTTGGTCGTCGCTTGTCAGTGTACGGGGCGGGGAGAGCGGACCGCTCGGCGGCCAATCGCGAGCGGCCCGCCTCCCCCCGCGCCCGCGTACCATGTAGCCAGAAACCGAATTTCAAATGATATTATTTTTGGTTCTTTTATTTTGTGGAATTAAAAGTCTACATTAGTACTGAAACCTACTGCCAACTTTCTGTTAGAAATCTGATATAATGAATATAGTTAAGGGATGATTTGTGCGTTTATTGTTTTAATTATTATGAATAGATGTTTACTATAAGTGAGCTATTTAAGTGGACATGTCCTAGATTATTTTGTTTATTTAAATTTATGATAGTAAGCCTGTTGGACGGAGATCTCGCGCGGGCGCAGCCTACATCGTTTGTTTGACATATCAATCGTATTATATTGTAAATCGTTATAGTGCCGTCTCCCACGGGCGCATATCAAGAGTCTATCCGCTTAAGAGATTATTGCCATTTGTTTCGCATCAACGCCACGCGAGATCTCTATTTTTTTGTTACCTGAATAAATATTATTAATAATTAATTACGATTTGTGGTCCAATGTTAATGAATCATAATACTTTAACTAGATAGATGATAAAGAAAGGTCGATTAGGGTGTAGCGTAGCTCGCGGCGCACGCGGCAGTGGACGGTACGTTGCGTTGTAGTTTACAAGAGAAGCAATCATTTATATACGTGTTTATATACAGAGACGGTATTGTATTATAAAATAGGAGAGCCACAACTACTTGTGGTTACGCGAAGTGGTGCGGTGTATTTGCTATATGTGTGTACGTAGCGTACGTTAGGGCGGCCGCAGCCCGCGCGACACCGCACGGCTATCTGAATATGCAATATTTTTATATTCAAAGTAAAATATATCAAGTTGTAGCGAGTAAGTGTTTATAGTGTAATTGGAGGGTCGTGGCGGGCTGCGCGCGCTCAGAGTGCGGTGTGACGAGCCTTAGAGTCCAGTGTCGAGGATGATGGGTGCTACAAGGGACCGACTGACAGCCTAGCAACACATGCAATATGTTAGACCAATAATATAGTACCGATATACAGGTGAAGCGATACTATATAAAAACCAGTGCGTTAAGTGATTGTTAATAAAATAGGTAAAAAGATCTCAGTGTCCAAACTTCTTCGAACAAATCCAGTGCCCGTTCCATGTGATTAAATATTATATATATTTATTTATATATATATATATATATATATGTACATCAATATTTTAAAAAAGTGGAATTTTAACAATATTTTTATATAGCTAGATGGAATTTTCAAAACGACCTATTCCTTTCGGCACTTTTCTTTATGCTTTTGTAAATATATCTATAGATTTTAACTTATTTATTTTCGTCGCTGGTCGAGGCGCAGCGACGCAGCGGTGCGTGATGGCGGGTCGGTAGCGACTCGCGCGCGACTGTTTGTCGTGCGACAGTCGCGCCGTACTTAATCGTTTCGCCTCCGCTGCTACTTCATAGTCTTTCCCTTTAGGAAATTTCGTTCTATAGGTTACAAATTTTATTGTAATATACTTATAATAAATTAATTATTAGTAGTTAATGAATGGACCACGCGAAGGTGAATGCTCTCAGAATTATAAGTCGGCTAGTGTATAATGCTAATCGATACTGTGAAACACGAGTTACCGGTTAGTAGGCAAAATGTTTGAGCAAGCATTTAAAATGATGCTCGGAAAGTTTTAATAATTTTAGTCGAATTGATGTTGTTGAAAAATCAAAGTTTCTAATAAACTTAATGTACTTAAATTTTCAATGTAAATTATAACAGCACCTCGAGAAAATTATTGTTAAAGAAATTATTTTAATCGAGCCTAGTCTTAGCATCATAAAATTTATTTAAAATTAATACGGACGCGTGTTCGGTATGCGATGTCGTCGCACTTGAAAGTCGCGCGGCGGCGACCAGCGTCGCGTCGCGTCGCGTCGCGTTGCACGCGTTACGCACGCACGATCGCTTGCGCGTCGCTCGTCAGCGTCGCGCCGACCATAAATTTATTGTAAATAAAGTGACGATGTAGGAACCAAACGCACACCCTCACGGCCCAAGTACCACGTACTAGGCCGTTAGATAGGTAAAATATGAAAATATTTTGCATGGAAGCAATGAGAAGGTTAGTGATTTGGTAATAGGCGAGGAGGGCGCTGCGATCGCCTTAGGCAGAACTTGAAAATGTTTGTCGTTGACTATACTATTTCAATGTATTATTGACGTTATTTAATCTGTGTCCGATGTTTGAATACATAATTCCAAAGGGAAACGTTTTTAAATTGACAACATAATGTTATAATCGACTCCCGTTGTTGAGTTTTGACTACCCGACAATAGATGGCACTTTCGTTGTAACAAAATTGTTTTTACGTATTCTGAGAGTTTTGTACGACACAGTGATCTTGCTTTTAGTTTTACAAGTCCGATATCTTAATTATAATTTAGTTGTTAATTTTACAAATACTGTATTTTCTGCCCCCTAGTTAAGTTATTTTTCTATGTATAGTTAGTTATAAGTGTAAATGAGTTAGCACATAAATTTGATGCATGATGATAATGTTAATAAAATATCCACAATAAAATACAATCTCTTGTTTTCTTATACCCTTCAATAAACGTAATATTAGACTGTGAGTGCAAACAATGAAATTATTATATCTAGTCAATATAATACACAGGCCTACGAATTAAATATTATCATTTGTACCGTTATTAATGCGGTCAATGAAGAAGTTTGCAGCAATTTATTCTATTCTTTTTTTTTTTTTTTTGATGGGTGAAAATGGTATGGTAACCCCGTCTGCGCTAAAGGGATACGCTGGTGGAGCACCAGTATAGGGTCATAGATGAGGATGAAAACAGGCCAGTTAGCCCATCATGATGAATTCATCAGGAATTAACAATGATAGTTTCCAGGGGGAACCACGAGGAGATCGACCTGGTTGGGTATATTGCTAGCAATAGGATTCTCAATCTCCATTACTAAAATTTATTCTATTAGGATCCTATAACGTTAGGCCAGTTTTAATCTGTAGTGATAGCAGGGAAAATAATTTATTAAAAACTTAATTTCCCTGAAAGAAAAAGAGAAAAATAATACAAAAATAGATACATAACATACTATTTTGTTAGCAGACTTCTAATGACAGTTTACTTTTTTTTACATTATAAACATTTTCATGGCCTGTGCAGGCATAGTGACGGGTTCAAATGCTGTACAACACAAAGATTCATGAGTATATATGTTTGTTTTGGTATTATATAAATTGTATCTATTTACAAAGTTTTTTTAATAGATTACCTCTTTATTCATAAAAATTAAAACCTACAAACCTATTTTAACTATTAAAGTGTACTGTCTTTTTAATTGAGAAATTAGTACAAAAAAAGGACAAAACACTTCAATATCTAAAATAGTTTTCTGAGAGGTTTGACGTTTTTATTAATAAGCGGGTATATCTTAAATTATAGTGATAACGATACAGTAACCCCGCTTATAGTATCCGCAGATAAATTCCACAAAAATTAACCAAGATGGTTTCCAAGAAGAACTGCATGGAGGTCGATCTGATAAAGTATGTTTCTAGCAATGACGCTGTTAACTAACCATTATTAACAATAGTTAATCCCCATTGCTATCAATAATAGATGAATGCCCCTGAAAATCATAGTGACTAATATATCGTTGAATTCGTCACCGGAGTTACCACTCCATTATCATCCATTAAAAAAAACTCCCCCCCCCCCCCACACACACTCAAAGTTTTGTGCTAACAAATGTTGAGATATTTTTATTAATTCTCTAGAGCCCATATTATAATCTCTGTTTAGTTAATAGATGACGCTACATAATATATCCAAATATATTAAATTAAATATTATTAAATTTATAAATAAAAAAAGTGGCCTCGAACGCAAAAGATTTTTTAATATAAAAACTGCTAATATCCAACCAAAAATTTACTTATTCTTTGCAAATAAATGGTACATTCATAAATTACTTTACCAGAAGCACATTCTTTTGATACATAATTATTTACAAAAGGTTGTAGATGTATATTACCAAAATCAAAAGTAATTTCATGAATATTACGTTGTTTTATATTTTCACATTTAAAAAATTAAGATACAACGAACGCATCGATATCCAATACCACAGACAATCATAAATGACGTGTTGTTGTCATGTCACTAACATTTTGACGTTTTACGTGTATCCACAGCTGTCAGTTCGAGTTGTTTTCCAATTTCACTATCCCAATAATGAGAAGTAAAAGTGAATTTTGCTGTATGAAATTACTGGTTGAAACATAAATTTATTTTTATTTAGGGTGATAGACATTTAACAAATTACAAAATGGTTTTAATGACAATGATTGCGAGGGTTGTGGATGGGCTCCCCTTAGCAGCCACTATGCAAGAAGATGAGCAGGTAACATAATAATTTATTTTTTTCACGTATAATTAGTTCCAATTCCTTGCACACGGAGTAAATTTCACAACACCCACATACGTATTAAGAGTTATCGACCCGAATATGTTTAAGTTGCGTTACTTTCTTTTTTCTTAATTATATTTTTATTTTTAATTTGCTGTGGTGGTTCGCAGAGCGGCTGCAATGTTCTGGAGTATCAGAATCAAGCAAAAATGCTGTTTAGGAAACTAGGGCCACAGTCACCCCTGCGCTGCTCCATTGAGACTGGCCCATACCTCTTCCAGTGAGTGCAGAGCTTGTTATTTTTTGTTTACTCCCTATATACATCTTTATTGTTACCTTAACTATTATTTAGTGTACTATTGTTAAACCCCTGATCTTAAAACAATACCTGTACATGTAATATTAATAGGGATGTTTTATTTGTATGTGTTTTATACTTTGACAGCTTCCTACCAATTTTATTGAAAATGGATATAGCCTTGGACATTAGACATATTGCAATGTTATAAATACACATAATATAAATGATCTAAGAATGTATAATAATCCATAAAATTATATTGTTGATAAGTTCAGTTGATTTATGTTTAGCTGATGAAATAGATATCATTCCTTGTGCAATATAAATCTTAATGGTACTAAAAGATTGCTTGAACAAAAATTTTTTTTATTTATTGTGGAACATAATTTCTCTATTATTTTTTATTATCTCTGTTATTATTATCATTCTATTTTTTGTTTTAGAACCACTCAATAAAATATATTTTTTATTAAAATAATAAATACTTTAATTAGCTACATTCTACATAAATATATGTATATCTGTGCCTCTAGTGAGAAAGGGTATAACTCAAGTTATAGCCTTTTTCTTTTTTAGGCTACTTTAAATAAGCAAATTTTTCTCTTTCGAATGGTATAAGAACCGTAACAAAAACAATAGAGATAGTAAACATGTAAAAGGCTAAAATTAACAAAATATTTGTGGTAAAAAAGTCATAATTAGAAATAAAACTACAATATTTTACAAAAATAGTGCCAAAAATGACAACATACTTAGAACCACCCTTTAAATATGAAAAATGAATCATTTGATTTGAACCTTTTACACCATTTAATAGCGATTATTTTTTTATAGCGTAAAATAAACAACATTGTTTTTCTTCAATACTTCAATAAAATAGTTTTAATTCAACTTAAAATTATTTTCACATGATAATTTTAATATTTTTGTTAAGTGTGATTAGGTATAATAGAATTATTTTTAAAACTATTGGTTTTACACAAAAACTGACAATTTCATAAGAAAGAGGAGAAAAAATTACTATAAATGCAATCATTGACTTGTTCAATTAGCAAATAATAAAAGCAGCAGAATTTTTTTCTGTTTTTTGGCTCTCCTGAAAAGTGTTTTGAATTGAACCCTTTCTCACTAGAGGCACAGATATATCATCATCATCATCAGCCATTAACTACCCATTGCTGAACATAGGCGTCCTCTATAAAGATGTGGTATACCAGTAGTTGCCATGCTTGACAAGCAGGTTAGCGACTGCAGTTAGCCTTTGGTGATATATTCTAAGTAGGATGCTGCTGCCCTACCCTCAATCATTGAGGGGGGCAGGAAAACCCTTCTACCATTAATTTCTCTTTGTCTCTCCTATATATATATATATATATATATATATATATATATATATATATATATATATATATATATATACACATATATATATATATATATATATATATATATATATATATATATATATATATATATATATATATATGAGATATATATATATGTATGATATATATATATATATATATATATATATATATATATATATATACACACTATAAAATTTAATAGTTAAAATAATGTTAGTTATATTAAAATTTAAATATATATCTAAATATGTTTGTTAAATGTTAACTATTGCGTTTATATTTTTCCAGTTATTTAATTGAGAACGAGATCTGTTATTTGGTCCTCTGTGAACGTAACTATAGTAAGAGACTAGCATTCAGCTATTTAGAAGAAATTGCACAAGAATTCTACCAACAATACGGTAAAAGGGTATGTTTGTAAATATACTATGTACATTAATAATAATTTAGTTAGGTTTGTTTTTAATGGCATGAAAATAGAATGGTAACTCTGCCAACACTCAATAATGCAAGTTTCAACTTTTTGTAATGGATGAAAATGGCATGGTAACCCCTCCTGCGCTGTCGGTATACACTGGCGGGGCACCAGTGGGAGGTGTTAGATGAGGATGAAAAGGCAGGTCAGTTAGCTCATGGTGACGAATCCGACGATAAATTAGTCACGATTGTTTCCAGGGGGAACCTGATAGGATATATTGATTGCAATGGGGACAAATCTCCCCATTAGTAACAATACAGTACAGTCTCAAATTTCGCCATCCATGTATTCTTAAAAATGTGTTGATGATGCTGATGATTTATTTGATGGAAAGTAGTAACCTTTGCCTCAGGTAACAGTCGTCGATACACATTTTGAATACATGGTGATGTCCATAGCGCCTCCCATGCTTTACCACTTCTGAGAATTATGATTTGTATATATAAATTATAAATTTTTCTTACATTATAGATAGATAGGCAGTCTTTATTACCACTAATAATATAAAAAAAAAAAAAGAAAGCCTCAGCTGTTGCTATATATGCACACCTCCAGCGAGATGTGCCTATATAGCGCTGGTTTTCAGGCGGCCCCTTAAATTATATAGCCATTATATAGGCACTTCCAGCGCCTGCTGCCTATCATTTATCAGAGGGAGACTTTGTACAAAAGTCGTTTGCTTTGGTACCTCTCCCTCATTCGTGTTTCCATCGTAAAGCAGTTGTGTTTGCATGGCTGTGTTTCGGTTTGAAGGGTGGGATATGGCGTGAATTTACAGGATACAGAGAAATAACACCTGAGTCCTCAGCAATGGCATGGGGGGTATCATGGGCGAAACAGTATACTCTGTTATGTCCATGGTACTGCTCATGTCTATAGGCGACGGTTACCACTTTCCATCAGGTGGACCGTCAGCTTGTTTGTCATTCTGAGTTGTATAAAAAACAACCATCAAAATAAGAGGACTGTAACGTTGCAGGTGAATACAGTGACGCGGCCTTATACGTTCATCGAGTTCGACACGTGGATGCAGCGCGCGCGGCGGCAGTATGCGGAGGGTGGTGCGCGGGCGCGGCGCGCGGGCGGCGCGGCGGCCTCGCTGGCGCCGCAACTCGGCGACGTGCAGCGCATCATGATGCAAAACATCGACGACGTGCTGCAGCGCGGCGCCGTACTCTCCGGTAATTCTGATTAATACTACTCAACATTTACAGCATTACAGCGAGAGGCCTAGGTTCAGTTATCGTCATACCCGTTAACTGTCCCCTGCTGAATATAAGCCTTCCCCAGAAAGAGAATTTTGCCAGTAGTTGCCATGCTTGGCAGGCGGTTTAGCAACTGTAGTTAAGCTTTTAGATAGATAGATAGGTAGATAGATAGATAACCTTTATTACCATTATCAAGAAAATTAAAACAAAAAGAAAAAAGAACAATGTTGCTGGTAATAGGAGCCGCCTCAGCTGTTGCTATATATGTACAGCTCCAGCGAGATGTACCTATATAGCGCTGATTTTCAGGCGGCCCCTTAACTCCTTTACTTTTTTTTTAGTGGTGTTTTAAGACAATTGTCCATTTCTCCACCATTAAGTTTCCTTAGTCGCCTCTTACGACACCCGTGGAGGGGTGAACTATTCTATGCTGGGACCACACGGTGGACTATGTTCAATAGTTAACAGTAAATGGCTGATATGATGATATTACACAGCATATTGAATATATGAGCAAGGGGGGAAAGGGATTGTTAGTAATGGAGACTAAAAATCCCATTGCTAGCAATATACCCAACCAGGTCGACCTCCTCGCGGTTTCCCCTGGAAACTATCATGGTTAATTCCTGAAGAATTCGTCATGATGAGCTAACTGGCCTGTTTTCATTCTCATCTATCACCCTTCACTGGTGCTCCGCCAGTGTATCCCGTTAGCGCAGGCGGGGTTACCATACCATTTTCACCCATAAAAAAAAATATGAGCAAACCGACTTTGTCAAGCAGGAGGAGTATTGTTAATAATTAAGTGTGATACATATATATTGCAAACAATATTACAATATATTAATGTACTATCAGATCTCAGACCCTCTGGCATTGTCCTCGTTAGAAACCATCGTGCTTTCCTGATCATTTTGTCACAGTAGACCAACTAATAAGAGACCATCCTGACCTATCATCACTCATGCCTCGTTAACCCTTCTTTGCATACTGGTGGAAATTTCCATCATAACATTGAATGCCTAAAACTTATATAAAAGACCAAGTTCACTTTAAGTTGATCGTGTCTGGATACCTTTTTAATGTCCATAGCAGAAAAAAAAAACATAGCTGTCAAATTTATTGTTTTAACCATTTTTCCTTTAATTTTAAACATGAATTATATCACTTTGATTATATGACTTTGATTTCACCAATAAAAAAAATCATGCAGAGAAGGGTTAACGTATACCTATATGGCGCAGGCGAGATTGCCATTCCATTTTCATCTAATAAAAAAGTCCCAAATGTAATAGAAAATTGATAGTGAATGTATAATATATATAGGAAAACATCCATGCTAGAACGAAAATATATTCATGAATATTTCTGTAGTGTAGATATCAACGAAAGGCGAAGCAAAGCAGTTTTTAAATCACACATCCAAAGTTATTATGTCCATCAATTAAATGACAACTGCACTTTCATTCTACATTATTGATTTTTTTTTTATTTTAATCTTTCAGAATTGGATACAAAGACGCAAAACCTATCAATGATGACACAAAAATACAAGAAAGACGCAACATACCTAAACACAAAATCTATGTTGGTAAAGGTAACAGCGGGCGCAGTTATACTACTTGTGTTTGTATTGTACTTCTGGGTTCTCTAAGGGTTTAATTTGGCTGTATAATTTGTGATCTTAGTATAGTAAAAATGAGTTGAAATAAATATTTGTCTATGTTTATATTGTTATCGAATTTTTGTTTTTGACTCGTAGCTTTGTGGCTTAATAAATGTATTATAATGTAAAACTTGCCTTATTTATCTATGATATTATTAATAGTAGGTAATATAAATTGTATGAAAAAAACTTAGAATATGTAATTGTAACATAGAGATTTTCTGTTTAATAATTGCTCTATATTATTAAAAAAAAAATTGCTTCAACTCATTTTTACAAAACTAAATAATATAAGCATTAGATACAACAAAAAGTAATATGTTCAGAAAATTATCTATTGTTAAACATTGAATTATAAATAATCCATAGACAAAATTTTCGCCATTGATAAACAATTATTAACGAGAGTTCTCTTTTAATTTTCTATGTATTCGCACTAATGTACATTTTCTTAGAAGAAAGGGATGATCTAGAAAGAAAAAGAAATTGTTGCGAAATCGCTTTGTCATAGATAATGAAATAACCACGATCAAGAATCAGTGTAACTGGCAAGTGAGTAACAGTTTTTTTTTAACCTTGGGAAAGTTGTGAACATATTACTGTCCTTTTATATTCCATTTTAATAAAAATAAAATAAAAATACTAATTGGTCCAATAATTTATGCATGCTGGTCAATTACAAAAATTTTTTTTACTGTTTTACTACATGCATTCAGTACATATTAAATCAATGGCGTGAACCTCGAAGGTCTGGCCATATACAGACATCACATAGTACTGATATGTCCTTGTATGTTTATTTTAAATACAAACTGATATGCTCCTGAAGTAGTGTTTACATGACCAATATTAGCTTTAGGCAATTTTTTTTTTTTTGTGTAGGTAAATACGTTTGGAAAAAAGCATTCCATTGCAATATATTTGCAATAAGATTACCTTTTTTTTTATTTTAATTGTATTGTTTTCAACCAATAAATGATTCAATATTTAATTTTATTAATGAAATGGCTTCAATTGTAATCTCTGCAGATAATAAATCATATATATATATATTTTTTTTTATAAATAGCTATGTTCGGTGAAGGAATGTTGTAAATTTTCACTTATTGTTAATAAATATATTTATTTAAGAATGAATAAAAATGTGCATTATTTGTACTTTTTTTTTTCTTTTTTTCTGTAGCTAAGAGAAATGGGATTATTAGTATTGGGGACGTTAATCCCCTTTATTAGCAATAGACACTGGCAGATCCACCACCACGCAGAACAGATGTTTGAACAGGGGGATTATAGCAGCCTTTTTTTGCCATTGCCATCCAAAAAACCCTAGGGACACCAAATAGGCTAAGGACGGGCCTATTAATAGGTTATGCTTACAAAAACTATGGTGTGATAAAAAAACTTTCAAATTTTCAGTGATAATAAGTTAGTAAAACTTTTAGCTCGCTACTCGTACATGTGATTTTAGAAGTAGGAAAACCAATATCTTTGAACACTTCTTGATGGGGTATTAAGGTAAAATATACACAGAATTTTAAATTAGTCCTTCAGGAACACAACTGTGTAAACCGCATCCATAGCTTTTGCATGATGCCAAAACAAACATAAAGACAGACAAAATTTCTAAAAAATATTATTTTGGCATCTTACATACCCCTCATGTAAATTTGTCTTAAATATCTCCTATGTAGACATCGTTTAGTTACAACTTTAATAAATCAGTAAGATATAGCCAACTGTCAACGCCAGCAGTAGAGCAAGTGGAACAGATAAACAACACATCTATTTTAAACTGTCTCCCTTATTATTGTTTTGATTATAGAAATTAAAAATACATATTGTTTATTTATTTAATTATATTTCAGTAATAAATAAGTAACAAATGTCAACTTATTTATAAATTATATTAAATGAATTAGTAACATAGCTGTTTTATCACAGACATTAATTGTACTTGTAATATATCCTACCCTATAATACTCTGAATTAACAATGTCCTCGTTAAACTAATTAGGTATACCACAAGTTAACTATACAAGATCCATTATTATTACATATATTTTTTTATATACACTTTTAGAAAACCTATAAAATCGGTAGTATATGACAGTCAATACACAACACTCTTCAATTGGGGGGAAAGGGATTGTTAGTAATGGAGACTTAGAATCCCATTGCTAGCAATATACCCAACCAGGTCGACCTCCTCGCGGTTCCCCCTAGAAACTATCATGATTAATTCCAGATGAAATCATCATGATGGGCTAACTGGCCTGTTTTCATTCTTATCTATCACCCTTCACTGGTGCTCCGCCAGCATATCCCGTTAGCGCAGGTGAGGTTTCCATTCCATTTATTCATACAACAAAAAAAACTTCAATTTATATCTTTGCTTCTCTCTCGAAATGCTCATCATCACTATGGGTAGCTAAATGTGTATCAGTTATAGAAGTAACTGCATCTTTCATTCGTAATGCCATCGTAGCGTTGAGTGTCTGCAACAAAATATAAATGCAACAAAATGTTATCTACTTCATACCAACTAAACAGAATTGATATAAGGATAAAAAATTTTGTTATTTTCATGGCATGTTTATTTTAGGAAAATATTTTTAATTTCGCTGATAGAATGCTTCCTTAAAAGGATACTTATAACTTTCAGCTGTATATGAAAAATCTTTACAGATTAAAATATTAGTCGACTTACTTGAATAAATTTGGCAACTAACACTGGCTTCTTACACCACTGCACCGTCCCAAACACCTGCACTGGATACGGGATAACCGTGGATGGAGGGGGACTCTTGAGATATGCAGCTGATAATTGAATACTTGTTTCAGATCTATACACAGGTGTAGTCAACTAAAATCAATTATTTAGTTTTGTTTTATGACAATTTAATAATCTAAATAAAGCTTAAAATATGTCAGTACAGGACACAAACTTGTGCTACCATATTCCATCTTTCAAACTAAAACATAGCCATGCAAATATAACTGTTTCATAACAAGAATGAGACAGAGGCGTGCAAGCAATCAACTTTTGTATATAAAAACTACATCTAATAAGGTATATATTTAAGATAATTTTTAAGTATTTACTTCAGTCAAATAAAACCTTCCATTAACACTCTGCAAAATACCAATGGTCCTGCATCTGAATGTGACATCCTTGTTCAACTCACTCCTGGCAGCCAATTCCTTTAAACTTAAATGAAGATAAAACTCACTCTGTAATTAGAGACAACAAACATTTCTCAAAGGTTTGTTTCAACTATAATAATACATTAATAATTATAATAAAACGTTAATACTATGTGTATAACAAGCCAAAATTCGGAAGGGGGGGAGGGATTGTTAGCAATATAGTTTGATAGCCCCATTGCTAGCAATATGCCCTATTAGGTCGACCTCCACGTGGTTTCCCCTGGTAACTGTCATGAACAATTCTTGTTGAATCTGTCACGATGAACTAACTGACCTACTCCATTGACCTATCATCCTTCATTGGTGCACCGCCTGTGTATACCAATAGCGCGGGTGGGGATCTCATTCCATTATCACCCATTAAAAAAGCCATTCATTAATACCATTTCATTATCATCTATTAAAAAAAACAAAAATTCGGGTATAGGATACACTTAGGGACAGGGAGAAGGGGTTGATAGTAATGCAAACTGCCAGTTCCATTGCTAGAAATATACCGGTCGACCTCCACGTGGTCTCCCCTGGAAACCATCGTGCTGAATTTCAGATTTATTTATCACGATGGACTAAATAGTTTGCCTTTTCATTCTCACTTATCATCCATTATTGGTCCCCCACCAGCGTATGCCGTTACGCAGGCGGGATTACCATTCATTGAAAAAATTCTTAGAGGCGGAATTCCCAAATTTCATAATAATTTAAGGCGCCAAAACTTATTTTTAAATTCATAAGGAAGGGTTACATACCACAGTACTTTCCTTATGAAATCCCATATTACAATATGTTTCGTCATTCTTTACGTACGACATTTGCCAATGTTATATTTTCTAATTAACTTAAATTAAAAATAAATAACTATAAACTTTTTAGTAACATTAAGAATAAATTCATAAGTAATTTCAAAACATACACAGATTACTATTACAGTTGACGTTGTGCTGTCAAACTGAGTGATTTGTCATAGTCTAATCTGTATAATTTGCAACGTTACCAGATTGAATATTTTTTACGCATTTTAAAGTAATAAAATTTTTATATGCGAAATTTTGAACAAATGATTTCTTTTTTTTTTATGGTTTGCGGTACAGTATTTAAGGCATCCCGTCCTCGCTATTGGATACAGGTGGCAGAATGCCTATATAAGAGGGTACTTGGTGAGCGCAACTTAGACGCAATATTTAAAAAGTATTAGAAAGATAAATATACGGCCGGATACTGCAACAAATTAATATGTGGTCGGTCTCTGAACTGGCGACTTCTGCTGTCTACCGGTCCCCAATTCGAGGCACGGCCGATCATCAGCCGTAAGAGATGACGCAGGGCGTATGAAAGCACATCAATCATGTATTTGCATTACACTGTGTAAAAATAATTGAAAACGGCTTGTAGAGAGCGGTTAGGGATCGCGAAGAAGGAAAAGAATAGTCGACTACCGGGCACGCGGGCATTGTTGCGGCCGCGCATCCGAAAGTCGACAGTCCATAAACCGCTGTGAAATAAAGAATAATTATGTACATACAATAACGAACTGAATTATGTATATACAGCTGCTGGTTATTAGTATTTTATTATATTTTTATTATACCAAATATACATACTATTATATTTATTTATTTATTTTTTATTATTCTTATTATTTTCTGTTATACTTTTTTTATTTATTTTTTATACACTTATATAGTTATAATATTTGATACGGTATATCACTTATATATTTTTTATTTATAGCTATGATGATCATGATCGAAATATGATAAATAAAATGTTTAAAAAGATGTATATGGATTTATACAATGGACTGTCTAAACCTATGTATTATTGATTACTTTTAACCTATTTACAATGTATGTACGGAAATCAACAGCAGACTCCTTGGAGATGATATCATCTAACTGGTATGGTGCGACTCTAAGCATGGCGCAGCATGGTTATGCCACTATGTAGTGAATATAGGACAATAACGCAACAAGTGCTGGATGGTCTGGATTGAGTTTTTATCGCAGGGGCACGTATTGTTATCGGTAATGCGGATGCGATTTTTTTTATACCACTGAGGTGGCAAACAAGCATACGGCCCACCTGATGGTAAGTGGTTACCGTAGCCTATGAACATCTGCAATACCAGAAGCATTACGCGTGCCTTGCCGACCCTGAAGAAACCTCTTTACCCCCCTTTTGAAGAACCCCATGCTGTAGTCTCTTGGGAAATCCTTGGCAGGGAGCTCATTCCACAATCTGAGTGTTCGTGGGAGGAAACATCTTTGAAACCGCGCAGTACGCGATCATTGAGCCTGTAGGACATGAGGATGAACTCCCTGTCAATGGCGAGCCGTACGATGGTAGAAAGTGGCTGTGGGCATCATATTAAACAATTCTTCTGAGCACAATTCGTTGTACAGGCAGTAGAACACGCAGAGTGAAGCAAAATCTCTCCTAAGACTTAAAGGTTCGATACCGCTTGTGAACCTGAGATCATCGACAATTCTCATAGCTCGTCGTTGCAACAAGTCGAAAGGTTCAAGCTGGTATTTAGGTGCACCATGCCCATAAGTGACAGCAATACTCCACGTGGGGCCGAATTTGCAATTTGTACAGAATTAATCGCTGATCCGGCATGAAGTAATGCTTCGCTCTATTGAGCACACCGAGTTTTTTGGATGCCAGCTTCACCTTATCTTCGAGGTGGCCACGGAATTGTACATCACTAGAGATGTCGACACCAAGGATCCCAATGCTTTTAGAGATGTTAAGAGACGTGCCTTGGAACTGTGGAGCCACAGCAAATGGGGTTTTCTTAGCGGTGAACGCGCAAGCTTGTGTCTTATGTAGATATTACTTCGCAAAGGAATGCCCAGTTATTATCTGAGTCATAGCGAATGATATTGGGACAGTCTTTCTATACGTGGCAATATTATCAAGTGTGACTTCATATTTCATAGAAAATTTTTGGGGAAAAGTGAAATGGTTTGGAGAAATTCAGGTAATTTTTTTGGAAATTTTGAACTCATAAACTCATAAAGATGTATAAATATAATGGAATATATGAATAAATATCCCGGTATAGATTAAGCCACCGCTTCCATTCCATTATTAATTAACTGCAATTAGCACTTTGCTTGACAAGCGTGGCAACTACTGACTGAGAAAACTCTTTAAAGGGGAGGATTTTGTTCAGTTGTGGATAGTTAACGGCTGATATGATGATAATATGAATTAGAGTAGCAAAACAGAGAATGGGATAAAAGAAGAAATGTTTTTTATTCCTCATTTTGTGCCACATGGAAAAAATTTAGTGATTCGATTTGGAGAAAAAATTTTTGCTGTTCGAGTAAAACTCAATATTCGCATATGGCAACATTAGTAATTTGTCAGCTCAGCACTGTCATACCCTAGTTTATGTTTTGTGTTTTCAGCATTTTTAATTTTTCATTTCAATATAATTTTAAGTCCTTAATAATTAAATAACGTGAACGTAGTGGTTAATTCCTCAGTGTTAAGTAAAAAACTATTTCCAATTCATCAGCAAAGAACAGGAAATTACATTGTCTTTTGCGAAAAAGAACTCTGACTTGCCTGGAATTTGAAAAATTTAGAACTACGTAAATAAAATAAATACTGCGACATTAGTATTCATTAAAGTACATCATGCCGTCGTCACTTGTAGAACTCCGTCCAGATCGACGACTTTTAGATCATGAATTCGAGGGCTACAAGCTAAACTTACAAGCTCTTCCACATTATGTGCATGAACTCGCCTCACCTGTGGATAAAGTGTACCCAGACGAAATCCAGTATTCTTTTATACATGCAAAACTTTTCGCACTCCATAATCACCTAATACTCGATTATTGGGCTCATACTTTTAACTATTACTACATTGATAAAAAACAGCAAGTTCATCACATTACATTTGAGTCCACTAACCATAGCTTCCAGAGTACAGTTGTTTATGACGTTCCTGCACATGTTGAAAGAAAATCTGGGCATTTCAATCTCTGTCTCACATTTCCTTCAGGTAATTTAGCCATAGTTAGTGATGGTACTGGATACCTTCACATTATTGATACTGGCTGCAGAAACCGTCTTGCTAGTAGAAATCAATTATGGCAGACACAGCACTCAAGTCTGGTTCTTGGGAAAGACAAATACTTTATAATTGTAGACTCGAGGATACAAGAAAAAGGCAATAGTGAATTATTGCATTGTTTATTGCAATCTGTAGAACAGAACGAGAAGCATTTCAACACTGTTCTCACATGGGTCACTTTTGAAAATATTGAGGAGACTTGGAAACAAATAAGCATGAAGCAGTTGCAAGGCAAAGGCATTGTACATTACTCGGCCATTGAAACAAACTGCTCAGCATTGTACATAGCTTCAGACAATGTTTTCAAATTTACATCTGACTCTGAGAAGGATATTATCGAGCCAACAAAACAAGAAGCAAAAAAAATTATCTACACGTGGCTGCAGACAACAGAAGATGTTACAGTCACATTGCAATTACAAGAGAATTTTGATAAAAGTCTATTACATGTTAGTGTGACACCATTAACAATTAAAATAAGCTATGCTGGTAATACTTTTGTGGAGGGCAAGTTGAAGCACAAGGTGGATTGTGAGTTAACAACATGGAATATTCAAGAGAATGGGCAAGTTGATGTCTTAGTCACTAAATCTGAGAGCATGATTTGGGATCAGTTTCTAGAAGGTGGAGATTGCAATGGAGAGCAAATTATGGATGCAAGCTTAGTAGAGGAGGCACACAAAAGGCTAGCACACTTGTGCTCGGAGACAGAGGCAGTAGTAGATCAATCAGTACCAGGGTTCTCTACACAGGAATTGGAGGAATGTGATGCTGCCTCAGAAGAAGATACAGTCTTAGGTAAATATAATATTCTACTCCCTTTTAATAATGTACAATGTAATCTAATGTCCTCTACCCAAAGGTTGCCTGGAAGAGATTGCTAAGTGATAAGGCCGCCTTTTGTGTCACTCATTAATATTTACTGTATTTGTTATTTCTCTTTTTACTTGGTGCAATAAAGTGTAAATAAATAAATAAATAAGTTATTAGTTTTTTACAAATTTTTTGTTGAGGTTTCAGTACACCTGGATTTCTATGCCAGCCTCATAGGGAATGTTTGAAAGTTAGGTTTGTCAATTCAAAAGCTATTATTATTATCATATTATGGTTATTAGTTTTTAATTATGATATTGTCTAGTAACAAACTTTCTTACTCATAATATTAGTACAGATTAGATGACACAATTTCTATATATTATATATATTGATCATTGTATTTAAATAGTGAAGATTAAAATGTCAGTATTTCTTTCATTTTCAGTGAGAATACAAGCAGCAAATCATGAAATCACACACAGAATACCGCTGAGTGTACACCAGTACTTGTTCAATGTAAAATTGGAAACCCATGAGTCTCCAGCATTGGTATTGAGGCATGACGTAGATGCTTGCATTTGGCAACCTTATGCTGAACTAATCAATTCAAACACTTGGCCTTTCAAGCACCAGGGAACTCTCCTGGCCTTTGGATATGTACAATCATCGAAACAGAATCGAAAGTTTATTACATGCCCACCAAACTTCTCATATAGTGTTGTATGTGAGGCAACAAGACATATATTTATTTATCAAAATGCAGGTACCCAAGACTGCCAACTGAGAAAACGTACTGGGGGTGTAATGAAAAATATCAAGGTTGGACAACAGCATGTGTTCAATATTGACAAGTATGGAGAAATTATTGGTATCAATGCTACAAATGAACACTTGTTTGTATTAACTGAAAACAATTTGGTTGCTATAGAAATAATATAAGAATAATATATACAAATTTTATTTATTATATACAGAAACTAAATATATCCTTAAATCTAACTTTCCATGTCACTATCATTGTCCCCTAAACTCTCCTCAGAGGAATACCCTGTTGTAAATAGAAGATTTTTAGGCCTCTTCTTTTTAGCTGCTTTTATTTCTTTTTCAATCTCCAACTCTTTTTCCTTTGCTATTTTCTCTGTCAAAAGTTGTCTCTTTCTTGGCTGTAAATTATGTTGAGTTTGCACTACAGAACTTTTTATGTTACCATTATTATGCCTCATACTTCCATTAGTAATTGATAGTTTTCCTCTATTAGTTACATTTTCTTTACTTACTACTTCATCATTGTCGTTCTTTTTGTTTTGGTTTTCAAATGTATCTTCTAAAATATAAATATATATATTAGGTTTTTATTATTTTACAGTTAAGTACATAAATACAGTAAAAAAAATTAATTTTCCTACCTGGTGTAATTATTTCGAAATTATATGCATGGTCTTTGAGTACCACAAATATAATAGGAAACTCCACAATACATTTTCCAGACAAGTTCTCTGCCAAGGATTCTGTCAGATCCAATTCAAAAAACTTCTTTGATGAGCCTCTCACTTTTTCAGCTGTGAAAATAATTGATAAACTAAATTTGCAGCAATAATCCTAAATATTATACATGTTATTCATTTTATCTGCAGTAAATAAGCATATTTATATTAAAGTAAACATTAAAATAAATTGTATATAATTTGTCAATGAATAAATAAATAATTAACAAAAAGTATTAACTGATATGTTTATTATACCTTTCAGAAGCACCTTGACTCCACTAAAGCCAACTGATTTATAGTAAGTCAATGCTTTAGAACCCTCAAAAGCGACAGCATCTGGATCTAAGTATTTGTTCAATAATTCTGATAATCTTTTCTTTTCTGAACATTTGTCATCCACAAACTTTATAGGATCTGTATCCACATTAGGGAACACCCATTCCACCCTCCAATTTATTAAATTCTCCTTGTAATTGTATTTAGTTGTATTTATTTTATGTCTTGTGAAGTTTTGTGCTAAGAATTGCAATACTATGCCTCGCTGCCTGGCTGCCGATTTAAGCTTGAATAAATGCTGTAATAGGTAATAAAGTATTAATAAATTAATACATATATTTCATACTGTAATGATTTTATTATTGTTCTAATATAAAGTGTAAATATTATATATTGTAAAAACAAAGTATGTACTAATATTTATTCATTCATTTTTAGATTAACTATTAACTAACTGTTAATCTTTATTAAATAAATCCCAATGGAGGAGTCAAATTGTTTATGTAATAACAATACCTGAGGCAAAATATTAATAGATATAATTGATAGGATTATTAATTAGGAGGTAAATTACTCACAATAGGTAAGTCCTTATCGATTCTTGTAAATCGTTTCTTTTCGTCTCGTTTCACGGCATATACGAACCGTGCGCATTCCTCTAACAGACGATAATCGCTTAGTAGATCGCTGTCGGAAAAGTCTTTCATCCTTACAAACTTAGTGCGATCCCTTATACCATCACATTCTAATTCTTTTTTGTGTATCCTCACACAATTTAAGCTGCATGTCTTTACTTCACATTTCGGACAAGTGTAAATAGCTTTATTTGCTCCGCATACTTCACAATCACCCAATCTAAAATATAGTTGTTTTAATATAGAGGTTATGTTCAATGAAAGTATAATGAACATATATAAAAAAAGCATGTACCTGTATAAAGGGTCCCTTTCAGTTTCAGATTCGGAAGATGACATTGTTTTGTAAAACTACAAAAATATACTTCTTATATTATTACAACAAAAATAAAACGATCAATGTAAAATTTAGACCAAGCATGGACAAACGTTTCCAAAACAAAACAAACTGATGTCAACATGACAACCACTACTGAACCATAGATGCCGTAAAAAAAGAATGACAATAGCATTACTCTATGAATTTAAGTGATACCAAAGATTTTTTTTTTATACCAAAGATTACATAAACTCCTTACACATACTACGAAAAGGATTTAAATTAAAGGGCCGTCATATACGAATCACAACTATTCTTAATTTTACCTAATATACCATAGATAGTAGGTTTGCGCAGATATTACCGTAGATATTATAATTCCCATTCTCTTTGATTATAATAAAATGTCAAATGGTCAATGTTTTGTATTTTAAAATTTGTTTTTTTATTTTGTTAGTTTTTTATATAAAATATAAAAATTCTAAACAGAAAATATATAGAAATGGGAACCCCTGAGCTTCAAGAGGATGATTGGGAGCTGCCGTGTTCAGATGAGGAATTATCAAAAGCTGGCGTTATTATCGGCAAAAGCTGGATGCCTGATCCAACAGAACTGGAGGAACTTTATAAGAATATTGAAAAATCAGGGACACTTAGCTTGGAATGGAAGTGTCCAGGAAGGCGAGCTCCTTCACCTGTTCCAGTAAGTAAAGCGAATCAACCAGAAATGCCTGTATCACCAGTCAGAGAAGAGAAATCCGATTTTGATTTTATGGACGAAGTGAATTCGCTAAATTTACGAGTACGCAGGGAAGGTGAGGATACATTGAGAGGTTCGGCTAAAAAGAAAACTACATCATTTGATGGAATTTTATCCAACATGATCAGACACAAACGGATAGAGCAAATGGAAAAGCAAGCAAATACACCCATATCGAATGCACCGTCTACTAAACCAAGTTGATATATATACTAGTACAACCGCCAAATAAAATCGTTATTCTGACGAAGAATGCAGTATTTTTCAATATGCACTCTTAATTTTTGAGCAACTTCAAAAGAGGTTTCAATTCACTTATATTTTTTATGTAAAAAATGTGTTTAGAATTGGGGACAATATCCTTAACTTATACAGACATTTTTCCAATTTTAAAAACAATTTGATAATCCTCTTTACAGTTTGGTTAAATTAATTATATCAAGGATGAAGAAATGTCAAATTATACTAGCTAATTTACTTTTAAATTGAAATATAGTTACTTTTTGGAAAAATGATTTGGTTACTAATAATTTGTTTATAAATTATTGATTGATAGATTACAATTAAAATAAAACATTATCATTAAGGAATATGTATGTGAGAAGCTCAAGATTTTTTTTTTATTGGATGAAAATGGAGTGGTAACCCCGCCTGCGCTAATGGGATACGCTGATGGGGCACCAGTGAAGGGTGATTGATTAAGGATGAAAACAGGCCAGTTAGCCCATCATGATTAATTCATCACGAATTAATCATGATAGTTTCCAGGGGGAACTGCAAGGAGGTTGACCTGGTTGAGTATATTGCTAGAAATGGGATTCTCAGTCTCCATTACTAACAATCCTTTTTCCCCCCGCTCAAGGAGATTTTGAAACAACCTAATCCAGTTGTCATTTAGCATATATAAAAATGTAATAACTATTATAGTTGAAAAACCAATGTTTACGAGTGAAGTATAAAATAAAATTTCAGAAAGCGGGTATTTAATTTTTTTCTTTATACCACTATGTATGTGTGTAAGATGTCTTTAAAGAAGTTTTTTGAGCAATAGAAGTTATAATAATAAAATAACAAATGTAATATAATTTGTTTATTGTATATATAGGAATAATTGTATTACAGTTATACAGTTTAATAAAACTTTTTTTACTATAACAACAGTAATTTTTAACTAGTCCTCTGTTATTTTGCATCCAGTAATTTTATTACTTTTAAGAATGCACTATTTACCACTTGTCAATTGATTCAGGAACCAAAAATTGATTATTATTTGCATTTATTTTATAGATGTCTAGAATAAAAAAAGTTCAGCCTGAAACTCAGCTTCTAAATGATGCATCACAATGAAATATGGACATTTAAGCTTAGACATATAAGATACTATTTATTTTTTTATTTAGCACCTTATTACTTTTACAGAGACCTCGGAAATAAATGTTTCTTATGACTATGTGCAGACAATGACCAGACTTATATATTTATAAGACTTCATTGTTACTTCTTAATGGTTTTAAAGTAGCAGATTCTGGTTTTAAAAGTTCTCCATGTTCTTCTATCAGCTGATGACATCTGTCCATATTGTTCAAGATGTGTTCCAACTGCCAATGCTTCCTGAGCAGAGAGAGTTCTACATCAAACTTGCCTTGTCTTATACACTGGACCCCAGTGCAGTGAGCCACAGTTTTCAACTGTATACCCAAATCGTGAATTATCGTCCATAGATACTTATCATATTCATTTACAGACTGAATTTCTGTAACAAAATAATATTGCACTTATATAGTATTTCACCCTCTGTATATGTGGAGGGGGTGAAATCAAAATCATTTTAAAAGGACTTAAAGCAGCATCATCATCATCTCAGTCAACATTTATTTGTATTTTTTAAGCACAAATAATAACAAGCACATATAAATGCATAAAATAAAGAAAAAAAAATACAATAATTACATAAAAAATATAACATTTTTTCTTTTTGTGTGCATGCAACACTTTGATTAGAATGTATAATATGTTATAATACATCTATGGTGCCACAGTAACAAAAAATAGCCACAATTTATGCTAACCTGACAGCAGTATGGGTCATAAAAACTATTTAAATTCACTATCTTAGTTACATATTTTATTGGCAAGTAAATTCATAAAAACACAGAATTTGTTTTAAAATATAATGGTGCATTCTAAGGTTAGAATGGTTACTCAAAAGTATCACAATTCATTGTTGCTATACAAATTAAGTACTGCTACCTAATTACTAAGACTAGATAATTTGTACTTTGTACAATAGTCGTTTGCTTGGATACCTCTGTTCCATTCATGTTTCAACTGTAAAACAGATGTGTTTGCATGGCCATGTTTCTGTTTGAAGGGTGGGATATGACGTAAATTTACAGGGTACAGAGGAAGAACACCTGAGTCCTCAGGAATGGCAACGCATGGGGGGGTATCATGGGCGAAACAGTATACTCTGTTATGTCCATGGTACTGCTTATGTCTATAGGCGATGGTTACTACTTTCCAGCAAGTGGGCCGTCAGCTTGTTTTCCATTCTAAGTTGCATAAAAAAAAAAGATTGCATAAAAATTACCTAAAGTGAAGTGAGGTGGTTGAAAGTGTATACACTTCATGCCATAAATAACTGGTAATTTATTGTCTACTGGTCGAATCAACCCTTGAGATGCCAGTTCATATGTTGATTGCGAGTCCATGTGCAATCCGGTCAACCTGGAGAAGGTGTTTAGATAACATTAAAATCCATTAAACTGTTAAGCAAATTCATATCTGTTTTTAAAATAATTCTATTGAATTATGATAAAATTATAAAAGCAAACCTAGGCATGTGGTCATAAGTTTGATTTTGTGTCTGTCACTTTAGTTTTTTGACTAATTTCCCCAATAACAGTATTTGTTATTAATCATACTGCAAATTATTAAATATATTGTTTATTACTGATAAAATATTACCAGCAAGCAAGGTATAACATATAGAACAAACACTGATTAGGTAGTCATAGTCATGTAAGGTGAAGAATTATTTAGAACAGCTTGAAGTAAACAACTAAAGATCACTATATTGTGTTTTGGGAGAAGCCTATGTCCAGCAGTAGACTATAGAAAACTGATATTGATAATAAAGTTGTATATTTAAGTATAATGGCAATACTAACTGAAACATAGTTTTTTGATGTGCAGCTTGCATATGAGCTACAACGCCATCTATCTTTTGCCTTGTAATATGTCCAAATGTAGCCCTCTCAACCGTTTTCCCATTCCAGAAATAAGTGTCTGTAGCTTTTCCAAACTGACCGTGGACTTTGTAAGCTCTGGTCAGTCTAGCACTGTTTATGTAATATGTCAATCTGGTGCCATCGTTTATACCTAATACTAAAAGATAAAAATGGTATTAGAACATTTTTTAATATCTATATTAAATATTATATTTTTTGAATAGAACATATTAATGTATTATCAGCTTATTTTTAAAGGAATTACAAAAAATAATATCTACATATATAGGTCATGGCCATATTGATTTTTATGGTGACTACCATCGCCCATGCTCACCTGCAACACCAGAGGCATTGCAGGTGTGCTGTCGGCCTTTTTAATAAAATTAAACAAGGTTCTTTAAACCAATTCATGAATTAACTTCTAAAGATACATTTCAAATAGGAATAAAAGAAAGAACTACTTATTAGTGACTACTTCATCTTATTTTTAATTATAATAGAAATATGGGAAGTATTAGGAATGGTAAAATAATACCAGACACCATTTAAAAATTCATAATATAACAACATTGTAACTTACATAAAACTCCACTGGTGAATAATCCTAAATGAGAGGCCCAGCTACATCGGAAATCGTCATGTATGTATCGTGGCCCGCAGACCAAGGGATCATCCGCAAGATTTGGTACTACTTTTACAGTAAGAGGAGCATTGGTGGCACCGACTATTTCAACTCTCTGTTCTTGAGGACGACTAGGTAACGCATTCAAATCTACAAACGATTTATTATATATTTTCAAAAGTCACAATTGCAATAATTATTAACTACATAGCTTATACCGATAGTTAAAAATTAATAATAAAATCTAACCTCTACACAAATTGGTTATAAGTGTATGTTGAACTTGTCTTACAGGAACACACGCAGGTTTATAGACACATATAAGTCCATTTAAAGCTTTATATGCATTTACCGCATTACGAACTTTCCCCATTATACAAAGAAAATTAATATGTTTACAATTTTATAACTTAAAAAAGATTTACATTGCATCCAAATAAAAATTTAAAAAACAAAATTGTCAAAGATGGTCACAGATAATACAACTATGTTTACAAAACCACAGAACATAATATGTTTAGACATTAATTTGTTAATCGCTCTAAAGAGGCAGCACCAACAATTATTCTTGCATTATGCATCAAAAATATTTTTAAATAGTACTATTGAATGTTTACAAAAAATATAGTGCAATTTATCGCATTTATATATTTGTTGTAACTAGGTCACAACCATAAACATAATAAATTCATTCGACATACGTAGTATCATTATTCAATTTGTGATAACTATCTTGAATACCTACCGTAGTGGTAGAAATGTATTTATTAGTTTTGGCAATTTTATAGAAAAAAAATATTGACACGACAACTGCTGAATGCCGTGTTTGCCGTGGCGAGTTGAGTGATCGTGCAATGGCCGATTGGTGAATATCGTTTCTGTAGAGTGACTGTCTCGATTTGCTTCGTGTTGTTTTTATATAATTCCTGTTTTGGAATAATTAGATAAAAGTACGTATGGTAGTGCAAATTCTTGTGTATTAACGTTGTGTTTATATGACAGTGAAATAAAATTTTGTGTAGGTGTGAACGAAGAATAGGACGACTGCGATTTCATTTGAAACTTATTATTGGTAAGTTCATATGTTTTTGTTAAATCAAGTAACTATTTAACTGTAGTTAACGTACTTGACCACCAACATGTAAAAGTAATTAAAAACCTATTTGGCGTATCGTTTTCTTGATAAGAATTCTAGCCTGTTTTTAATGTACTAACTCTGCTTATTTCTATGTCGTTAAAACCGTTGCCCCTTTGCCTTCTCTGTATAGATATGTAGTTTCGTTATGTTTTAACGTGTGTCGCTTGTGAATTTCGTTGTACAGTCGATAGTTTACAATCAATAGGTTACTTCAATAAGTAATAACAGTTAATTTTGTTTTGTCTCGAAATTCTAATTAAATAAGTTTGACTGTATAATGCCTTGTCATTGTATACATTCATGTTTGATTACCTGTTGCAGTATTTAAACTACTTTCCATACATTTTCTTAAGTTTTAAATATTATAGTTCATTTTATTAATCATTATGCATTTTGGAGAAAATGTCAAAATTGTTTATAAAATGCAACAAAAAAAAAACAGCCTATGGACATCATATTTTACAACATACAATCTAATACTTGCAATTATGGGTTTTATAATGATTTGTATTTAAACTATATCAAAAACAAGGAGATTCTCAATCTGTGTTGTGTGTATAACACACCATCATTGCCAGTTTTGAATGGATTTTAGTGTCTGTCCCTTATTAATTGTGTAAAAATTAATGTTGCTTTTTCTTTTGCAAGTCAGAATCTTAAATTGTTTTGAAATTGGATTTGCCTTATTAATCAGTGTGTTTACATATTTTACTAAATATTAAAATATGATGAGTATTGATGCATCTATATCTTCACAACAGATCCCATTACCAAAGTAAGCAGAAGAATCTGAATGTCTTTGGCTGTTTCCTAATATATATATATATATATATATATATATATATATATATATATATATATATATATATATATATATATATATATATATATATATATGAAATTTTGTAACAGTATGGTTTGTTCCAATTTGAGAGGTGCAAAAGTTTTACTCTTATATGAAAAAATTAATCCAGTATTGATGGTAATGGGCAGAGCAGTGCTTACCTGGGCAACAGTAATTTTTTGCATTTTTTTTTATTTAAATAATTTTATTGACCACAAAAAATGGTACAAAAATTATTAATTAGTATTATGGTACAAAAAGCAGATTTAATGCTAATAGCATTCTCTACCAGTCAACGTTAAAAAGTTTTTTTTCTATACAAATGAAACGCAATCACAGTAGGAAAAAATATTAATCAATTAAGTATTTTATTTGCAAAAACATAACAATCATCTTGTATATTGACTTTGATATTAAGTTATCACTACTTTAAATTAATTACATAAAAGTCTATCATATTCATATTTCTTTATTAACCAATGTAACTGTTTTCGTCACACAATGGCAAGTCAATATTTACATTCTAATTTTGTAATTAATAAAATAAATAATAACAATAATAATAACATTCAAATTATAAAATAAAAATAACATTACAAATCAATTACAGTTAACATTATAAAATATTTAAATATAATAGTAACTATCCACTATCCTATCCAATAGCTTTTGTGTAATGAATGCACAGACGTGGCCTATTTACAATGAAATAATATAATAATCGTGAAATAGATATCACCTATTCTATTCCAGTATCTAATACTGGGTACAGAGGAATAACACCTGAGTCCTCAGGAATGGCAGCGCATGGGGGGTATCATGGGCGAAACAGTATACTCTGTTATGTCCATGGTACTGCTCATGTCTATAGGCGACGGTCACCACTTTCCATCAGGTGGGCCGTCAGCTTGTTTGCCATTCTAAGTTGTATAAAAAAAAAAAAAAAAAAAAAAAAAATATTTTGTATCTAATGTTTGTACATACTACATGTGAAAGTACATGCTTTATCTATAGAGATATAGATGAATATTTGTAAATTTTTTTTTGCAACAACATAACAAACAAGCTGACAGTCAACTATTTTGACATAGATATTCTATAAAATTCTTGGGTACTGGATATGTAGTAACTTGTTTGATTGTTAGGTGTAGGTGTGTGTGTGTGTGTGTGTGTGTGTTTTGTGTTATCTACCTTACAAGTCATGTAATATATTATTCTATTTCTTATTATCTAGTACAATAACTCGAGCGTCTGCCTTTTACCTACATTCTCAACAATTATGATAAGCTGTTAGAATGTCACTGTACTTTCTTTTTCAGTAAGATACGAGGAAAAAATGTTAATTAAACAGAGCAGTAGTTTTTAATGAACAAAATTGTTTTGATTAATTTATATCTACTATAATATTATTTATATTTTATATCAAAAACTTACTTAATATCACTCAAACTGCCAATTATTATAATTTTTAAGTTACTGAATAAATATGCATATATGAATCTTTGCCAATTTGTTTTTGCCAAGTTGCTGATTTTTTCTACAATTAAAATTTATTGAAAAGAAAGGATGTGTGAAAGATTGAGTTCAATAATTAAGTCAGAATCTTGGGAAAAATATAAAGATTAACAGAGAAGTAGAATAATAATAGTATTTTACTTCTCTGTCAATATGGACTCAATAATAGTAGAATATTCATTTACAAAATCTTTTTTGTGTCTAAATGTTCTTTAATATAAATACTTAATTGTGAAATATTTTCTAACTATTGTTTTTATTTTATTTTATTTATTCATTAAAATAAAATTATGGTTTATGGGAAAGGGGAAAGTGGAAAATTTTGATAAAACATCATAATTGAATTCACATAAATTCCTTGTCTTGTTTTTGTTAATTGGAAGGTTGGTCATTTGGTTCTGTTGCCTTAGAGACTGTTAGGAGGTTAAATAAATTTTTAATGGCTAAGTCAGCATATGTATTAATGTATCAATTAAAATAAAGTTTACTTCACTGTAAGCACTAAATAGGGTTGTGCAACTAATGGCCCGGCTTGTTTTATAGCTGACTGCAAAAACTCGAGACACGTAGGTATATGAAACGGACACCTTGCCTAGGTCGTTTGTGCTCGGCTCACCTTGCTGCGCATGCGCACCGCCGCCAGCTGACTCAACAATGATGTCACATGTCAACGGCACCCGCCGTTTATCGTGCATCGAAACAAAAATAATTGTCGCACTCGAATATTTAACTCTTGATAATGCCTGCCTTTTTATACGATGGTGGTAATGGCAAACATGTATTCAGTCTAATGGTTAGCGGTTACGGCAGCCGCAGCTGGTTATTAGACATTTATGAGAAACAGTATTTGTAAGCATGCTTCGTTTATCTTTCGCGAATTGGACAGTTGAGAAATGTGGGTTCGAATCTCGTCGGAAAGTAAATTTTTCCGCTCTATTATGTAGAGTATATTACTTACATTCTAAAATAAATTAACTAAATTTAATTTCATATTATTACAGTCTATTTCTTAGTTTTTTTTTATACAACTTAGAATGGCAAACAAGCCTACGGCCCACTTGATGGAAAGTGGTAACCGTCGCCTATAGACATGAGCAGTACCATGGACATAACAGAGTATACTGTTTCGCCCATGATACTCCCCATGCGTTGCCATTCCTGAGGACTTAGGTGTTATTCCTCTGTACTGGTAATTTCACGCCATATCCCACCTTTCAAACCAAAACACAGCCATGAAAACACAACTGCTTCACGGTTAAAACACGAATGGAACAGAGGTACCCAAGCAATCGACTTTTGTACAAAGTCTCCCTCTACTTTAGTGGAATTTATGAAAAGGTAACCAAGGTTTGTAGAGATTATTGCAGAAACACACCTCTAAGTATATAAAGTTATTCCATTGGATATCAGTAGACTGTTATTTCATTCTTCAACAGCTGCATTATGATTTAAAAATTGGAACTGTTAGGATACTACAGCACACACAATCCTACAAGAAGAGAGTAACAAAGCTGCCTGACAGACTGGCAAGAGACCTTATGGACGTAGAGCTCACGACCCGCAGACTAAAACGCAAAATGTCCCAAGACATGATTAAATAAAATAAAGTAGGATGCGACTCAAGTCGCATACTGAGCGCGCCATTAAAGTATACGTCAAACATACTATTTTTTATTCCAGCAAGGAGATAGATCGTGGTATAAATAAAGACATAAAAAATAATTAAAATGTATTAAAACGGACCATACTTAATATTTCTTTTGCTATATCGGACAGCGTATTATTTTTATTCGAAAGCAGGTGGTAAACTTTAAAATGGATGTGCCAGAGGTGTTGTGGTGTATTCATAGCTCGGCTATAAGAAAAATTAGGCTGACCAAAAACGGACCCGGAAATTGAATGGAATAACGTAAATAATCGATCTGTATTGTCCGGCCGGGCGGCACGTAGCCACGCGACATTATCTGAGTACCTCTGTTGTTGTAGTGAATTCCCAACGGCGTCTTTCCGCCCACCATATTAACATGTTGCCAGGTTACGCTACGCCTTCCTTTAATTAACTATATACGATGATCTCAAGGTGATATATATATATACTTATTTTATTTAATATACGTGTCAATTTCATGTTGTGGCATGTGCGTATCGAATTTGGCTATATTTTACTGTAACGATAACATGTATTTAAAAATATTAATAGGTACTAATGAACATAATACGAACACTCATCATATCAGCTCTTAACTGTCCACTGTTGAACATAAGCCTCCCACTATCGAAGGATGTTTTTTTTTTTTTTATACAACTTAGAATGGCAAACAAGCTGACGGCCCACCTGATGGAAAGTGGTAACCGTCGCCTATAGACATGAGCAGTAGCATGGACATAACAGAGTATACTGTTTCACCCATGATACCCCCCATGCGTTGCCATTCCTGAGGACTCAGGTGTTATTCCTCTGTACCCAGTAAATTCACGCCAGTAAATGTTGCCAGTAGTTGCCACGCTTGGCAGACGGATTGGCAACCGCAGTTAGGCTTTGGAGATGTTTTAAGAGGGTCTGTGATGCCCATCC